GTTCAGACATTTGGTTCATGTGCTTGGTCGATAGGCCAATGGCGCGAAGCTACCATCTGAGGGATTATGACTGAACGCCTCTAAGTCAGAATCCCGCCCAGTCATGATAGCAATATATATCGCTCTCCGGTGTCGGAAGGCAAAATGTATGCCATTTTTAGTGGTAGTACAAGCCCCAGTATCTGGCATTTTCCTTCTACTATAATTGGTAGTTGGTTGCTAAAAGCTTAGCACTCCTCGTGTAAGTGTAACGTCGGGGCGCAAAATCACTTGTATACGACTTGAATACTGGTCAGGGGGTTGTATCCAGTAGAGCAGCTCTTCGCTGCGATCTGTTGAGACTTAGCCCTTGATCGGATGATTTGTCTTTTTTATATACTATAGACCTGTTTATTTTTTACTATCCCGGCCCAATTATACCCCCAAGCAAAGCCAACCATAAATAAAAGCTAACGCGTGATTAATAGCGCTGCGATTTACAAGTGAATTTACCTAACGACCCTGAAAATGCGGCAAATTTCCCCACTGGTCAATTTTTCAATTCTATATTTATGTCGTAGTGAAACGCTTCCTGTTGGACCGATTGCTTGCCGTCCCTCAACTCAATTATACCAAAATACCTTAATTTTTGAATGTTTCTGAAACAACATTAAATTTACCACGGGTTATTTTTTAGGAAGATCTCTGTTGTGCTTCTGTTTTACCCAACAAGTCTCGTCTATCTCAATTATCTTCTGATATCCCCCTATTTTTTCCATCACTGCTGTCGACAATAATTAAACCAATACCACTGTATTATTTAATTTTAATTCTTTGACATTTTTATTACGAAAGTCTTCGATCCACAGTAATGCCAAAAGTTTTGAAATAGGTAGAGTTCTTGTAGCGAAAAAGGATTTATTTCTAACCGACTTCCTTTTACCGCATTCTCGACAATACCATTCAAAATTTTTTTCGATTGGTTTTGAGTAATGAAAGAGGTCCAGAAGAACACTTTTTCAATAGATCGAAAGAAATGATTTATCTCGATCGGCTGAGGGTTAACTACTGCTTGAAAAAATGTTTTAAAACGAATCAGGTGGGTTATCTACTACTTGAAAATTATGTTTTAAAACGAATCCTGGGGTATCCTGGGTCTAACTACTTAATGAAAATTTTTTAAATTAGGTTTAGTTGATGTATTTAAAAAATAATGTAAAAAGTAGTAAAATTCTCAAAACAAAGCAGAGATAATCTTGAACTTCACAAAAGGAAAGGACGCCATTTTAAATTTGAATCAGAATGGTTTTTTCGCTCTTTCTCTAATCCCCTAACTATTTTCTTCAAAGTAGGACAAGACAATTTGTCGCTGGCTACTTTTTTAACGACCACTTTGTCGCAAGGATTAAAAGCAAAGTTAAAGATTTGATATGAGGAGAGCTACATAATTCTAGCTTAGTTAACCGACCTCAAACAAGTAGGGATTCATGTAGTTTTTACTTTTGTTTTTAAAATAAACTGGAGCGAAAAATCTTATAGCGTAGGGTTGTCGAATCCGGATACGAAAAAGGCGAATATCCTAAATTTTTTTCGGATATCGGATCCGAAGATTTCCAACTATCCGACAACCCTACTATAGTGAGATCCGACTGTAGTTATTCATATATTTTTAATGATAGTGGCGGCGCAAGAGTCACGGAACCGGTTGTACTATTTAGTTTAGATTCAATTCAGAAATTTTACTTGAAGGTTAACCAAAGCCAGTGTTTGTGAATTTATATTTACAAACAATACATTAAGTAAAAGTTCTAAATTAACAGGCAAATTTTTATGGGAAAAATTTAAATGGGCAATCTGTTTGAAGAGAGCGGTTCGGGGAAATGCATAATAAATGTTGCCTTCAGACATAAACGTTTTTGTAATCTGTTTGAGAATTAATCCTGTCAACATTTACATGATTGTGTAATAGAGGAAAAGAGTGCCCTTCTCATAATATTCAGAAAAATTAAATTGACTAACTCTATAACAGGGGTGTGCCGTTTCGTCTTTCGCCTTTCGTCTTTCGCCATATTTTCGTCTTTTTTGGTGTTTCGTCTTTCGCCTTTCGTCTTTCGCTTTTTAAAATGACTTTCGCCTTTTCGCCTTTCGTCTTTCGCTTTTTCGGGCGAAAGGCGAAAATATTATACACCCCTAATGACAGTTATGTGAGTGAAAGGTGATAGAGGAGGAAGAAAAGTAAGGGGAAAAAATTTCCTTGAACTTAAAGAACTGTGTGGTTGACTGGATAGTGAGTTAGTTTCATTTTCAATGATCTAAGTCTTGGGTTCGAAACCTATATTTAACAAATGATTAAATAATTATTTTTCACTTGGTAAAATAATTATTATAAGAAGCATTTTTTTATTGAATGAAGCTGTATACATTTTTTAAATTGATGAATTTTAGCCTCCTGCGTGTCAAAAATTCTAAAATTTTTGCCTGCGGCGCAAATAAAGGAAGAAATCTGGCTTAAGGACCTCAAAAATTCTCAAAATTTGCGCCTGCGGTTCAAAAAAAGAAGATTTTTTACTTAAGGATCTTAAAAAATTTAAAAAATTTTCGCCTGCGGCGCTGATAAAGGGAGATACTTCTCTACGTGGGTAAACCTCAGTATTTTAATAAAAATTTTGGTTATGGATTCGGATATCGAAATTTTCGGTTCGGACATCGGATTTGGATATCCTGGGATTTCCCAAAATCTTTTAACTATATTCACAATCAACGATGGTCAATTTCCAATGACAGGAAAAAATAGAAATTTAAATTTTTCCATACACATCCTCTGATATCCTCCTTAATCACTGTAAATCCTCTGATATCCATAATTTAGCGGTTAATATTGATATCACAAGATTAGGAGAGATTGATAGAAGATTTGAAGGTAGGTAATTAACCAAAGCTTTGGTTTAACCGGTATCTAGAGATTTTTCCTCATTACAGTTATTTCGCCTTTTCGTCTTTCGTCTTTCGCCATATTTTCGTCTTTTTTGGTGTTTCGTCTTTCGCCTTTCGTCTTTCGCTTTTTAAAATGACTTTCGCCTTTTCGTCTTTCGTGTTTCGCTTTTTAAATCGACTTTCGCCTTTTCGCCTTTCGTCTTTCGCTTTTTAAAATCTGTTTCGGCACACCCCTGCTCTATAAGTACCTAATAAATTTAGAATATTCATTACTCGCTAAAACGAGGGACAAAATCGTAGCATTTACAGAAATATACAAGGGACGGGTCGGGTTAGAAAAAATTTTTCCCCTTTGGTCTAAAAAGTCAATAAAAATAATTTTCCTGTAGGTAGAAACAAAATTTACAAAAGCACAGGTCTAAATTGATTCGATAAGGGCTAAATTTATATAGAGGCTTTCCAACATTTTTCCTACAATTTTAATGTCTAACACCTTTGCGTAAATATAGAAATGTGGTTTTATTCAAATAAATATACGATAAAAGAATATAACAAATAATGATCGGATAGCCTTAAATCTGTTCTTTTTCCTCAATTAAACTATCCCTAATCTCTACCGATCACTATCATAAATGCAATAATAAAAGATAAAGTTGATTATCCAAAAAATAATTGTTCAAGTTCCTGGCCCCCTCTGAAATGTATAAGGACGACCAAAAGAGCGTTGTTCCAAAAATTCACGTCTCCATTTGACAAAAGTCCAGCAACTTGCAGTGCTCAGAAATGAAGCGAATGCAAAGGTATAGAATGAGAAAAGTTTGTCTTTAGAAGATTTGGTGTAGCAAGGCCTGGAAATTTTAAGGAAATTATTGAAGAGATTGAAGATTCGGTTGTTTAAATATTTTTAATGAACTCTCGCTAGAAGCGACATGGAGAGGTTTGCGTATCCGATATAATCAGCATACTAAAGGATGGAACAGGTCTCATATCGAGATTAATCAAGTCGCTTATATAGAGTGTCACTAATAAAAATATCTAATAAAGTCGATAATAATGAGCGTCGATAATAATGGAAGTGACTATTAAAGTTGATAATAAAGTCGCTAATAACTCGTGTCGCTAATAGTCGCCAATAACGAGAGGTCCTAATAAAGTCAGTCAGTAATATAGTCGCTAATAACGAGATACTATGATAAAGTCATTAATAACGAAAGTCGCTAATAACGAAGGTTACTAAACTTTTTAATCTGAATAAAAGAAAGTCGCTTATATCGAGATTAGAAAGATTTATTTAATTTAAACTTAATAAACTAACATATAAACAGTCGAATTATTTTTGAAATTATCAGTGCAAATGTAGGCATTGTAGTAGCCAGTGGGATTGCAGTGTTCTGAAATATTCAAAAAATTACTCGAAAAAATATACTGAATTCAATCCTAGGCGAGGGAAGTTAACCATACGAACCATCTATTTAAGATACCCCTCATTATAAATACACCCAATATAAGATACACTCTATTTAAGACACGTCTATTAGACAAATTAGGCAGTCTACTTGGGTAGGGGGGGAATAGAGGATCTAAGCAATAGAGATCGGCCTGGGTCTGGACCAAGGCCTGGGTTTTTCCTGTACTCAGAGTCCAGGCCCAGGCATTTTTTGACCTTCCTGGGTTTTTCCTGGGCCTGGGTTTTTCCTGGACTACAGGCTCAGGATCCGGCCCAGGTCAATAAATCAAACCCGGAACCCAGGAACAGGCCCAGGCTTTTCAAAATTTCCGATCTCTACTAAGCAATATCCTCTATTTAAGAGACATCTCGATATAAGATCGATTTCCAGCTATAAGGGTGTATCTTAAAAAAAGTTAGACTATATTTTAAGCTGATTAATTCTAAAAGAAAAAAAATTTTTAGACCGATTTGAAGAGCATTTCTTTCAAAATCTGAACATTTTTGGCAATTTTGAAAAATTGTTACAGTAAAATTAGATGTTGAATTGTTTGTGGGGATGGAAGAACAAATATTTTGTTGTTCTAAATCAGAAGATTTTTGATTGTTTAAATCAGTTTCCAGAGAAGTCTCCTATAAGTTATAAAAATAGAAGGTAAAGGGAAAAGCTTCAGGCGGTTATTGCTAAACATTATCGCTCACAATGTGAAGGTGCTCTACCGACTGAGCTATGTTGCAGTGCTTATGCTCCAGGGGTGTGCCGAAACAGATTTTAAAAAGCGAAACACGAAAGACGAAAAGGCGAAAGTCATTTTAAAAAGCGAAAGACGAAAGGCGAAAGACGAAACACCAAAAAAGACGAAAATAAGGCGAAAGACGAAACGGCACACCCCTGTTATGCTCCTACGCTATGCTATACTTCACCTTTTCATCTTTTTTTCTTCCTACCTGATGAAAAAAAATTTTTCCTTATTCCCGTTCTCCATGGCGCTGTCTCCGCAAAAATTATTTTCCCTTGGCCCTCCTTCCCCCGGAACAACCTAACTATAAACCTTCATTGGACTCATAAACTAGACCAGCACCCAAACCCATTCCCCGAAATTTTTAAAAAATCTCCCTCACGCTCTGTATTTGCCTTCTAAAAAATTTATTTGTTCCCAAATTTTCTTCAACATATTCTCCAAAAAATAGAATAAATAGAGAACATCTTAAAAATTTTTTTTAAAAGAAATTCAATTAAATTCACGTTAACAGTAATCCAACAAGGGCAAGCATACGAGGTCTATTTCCACACCAATCCAAAAAATTGGCAATATTAATTTTAAAATTGTTGTTATTGTTGTTAGACATTTTTGAAGAATTTTTTTGGAATTTTTTTAATTTTTAAAAAGTATTTTAAGCTGAAAAATTTTTGAAAAATTTTTTAAAAAATTTAAAAAAAATTTCAAGGCAAAATAAATAGGTATTATTGAATAAAACCATTTAAACTACTGTCAAAATCTCGCTAATACGACATCTCAATCACACGTCACTCTCTTTACACGTCGGCTGAATGCGGCACCAGAAATGTGCTTTTTAGCTAGGGTACTATCTTATGGGGCGGGGAACGCTTTTGTGGGAACCAAAATTCGGGCTGTGGGGAAGACTAGCAAAATTTCCTCGTTCCCATTGCCGTTCTCGGTAATTCTTGCGTTCGTACCCCCCCCCCTTTTTCCTTCCTCAAAGTATTAAAAAATGGTCAGTCTGATATCAGATTATAGAACTCATCGAGCTGTGTCGAATGACACCAAAATCAACCCCCAGTCTTAACATTGGGCCGAGATACAGACCCCAGAAATTTGAAAAATAAAAGGGGGGATCAAGCAGATTTTTTGATATAAAAATTAGATTAAACAAATAATAGCTCATTCGAAAGAGCCTGTCGAGCTGATTCGTTGACATAAAAATTGACGTAATTGAACAAGATTTGACAAAGTTATGACATAAAGTAATCCTATTGTAGTCGGTGAGACGCTTTTGCTTAACTTGCGCTTTGCGCTGGTTTTTTTACTGTATCTCGGCCCAAAGTTAAGACCGGGGCTTGATTTTGGTGTCATTCGACACAGCTCGACGAGTTCTATAATCTGATATCAGACTGACCATTTTTTAATAATTTGAGGAAGGAAAAAAGGGGGGGGGGTACGAACGCAAGAATTACCCCGTTCTCCGTGGCGCTGTGTCCGCAAGAATTTTTCCTTGGGCTTTCCTTCCCCCGGAAGGAAAGTGAAGTATGGCATAGCGGGGGAAGGCCTCCCCCATTCCCCGGGGAATTATCTTCCCCGGAGAAGGAGCCGAATCCTACATATTTTCTCAATTTAAGTAAGCTTAATACGGTCCCAAGGATGTCGTATTAACGAAATTCAAACGTAATATGAAAGAAAAGATATTCAAGTTGATAAAATAAATTTTAATAAATTAAACAATAATGGCAAAACAAAGGATAATCTGATCTCACTAAAAGACAGCCCCTATAAAAATACCTCTATTTAAGAAACGATTTTTTAAAGGATCGGCATTGGGTATGTACCGCAAACGCTGTAAGGCCGGACACCCATCAGTACGATGGCTTTTGGCATTCCGGTGACTTTTGGGTGTTGGCGTGCCCCTGGTCATTGGAAAGACCCGGAAGTCGGTCATTGCTACGACCAGGGGCCTCTGCAAATTAGATCATATCTCAGTTATGACGTGTCGTATTTGTGACTAGAGTCCGACATCTAACCCACTAACTGACCATCATTGACCAAATGTCGGACTCTAGTCACAAATATGACACGTCATATCTGAGATATGATCTAATTTGCAGAGGCCCCAGATAAGTCTTCTATTTTGAAACCTAAGCGATACCCCCTATTTAAGCAATATCCCGTTATAAGAGACAATTTTTTCGTCCGTATCTATAAGTGAGATCAGATTGCATTCCTCAACAATAGCTTCTTAAAGAAGTCAATTATAATTTTTAATGTCCCTTTTTTGCACCCATCTGGTTCCCTCAACCTTTGGAGGGTTTGAAGTTATATAAAGGACACGAGGATTATGTGACAATTGATCCCAAATAGCTTCTGGGTGAAACGCTGCGGCAAGAGAAGCCTTTCCTAATGAGACTTTGTGTAACGTTCGTAAGGCGGTAATGCAGTTTTCGTTGGAGAGAATAGAAATTTGTGCTAATGATCCAAAAGCTTCTTCAACTTCATTTTCAATTGATTCCATATTCATAAAACGTGAAAGATTTAAAGAGAAAGGCAACCAATTATTGGAAACTTCGTTAAATACGTCTGGAAATTATTAAAAATTAAGGGGGAATTAAATGATGAATTTTTCAATTTTTCCCCACCTTAGTCTCTTTTTTTTCCTCAACTACTTAGTGAACCTCGGACATAATAAAAAACTGCCCCTAGTTTTTCTTAATGTGGCTCCCACAGCATTTTCCCTCTTCCCCTTTATTCTCACAATTAGAGTCCGGAATTTCGTATCGGTCGGTATTCCGTACCATACTACCGATATGGAATACCGATAAATACCGAAAAATACGGCAGTAGTCTACTCCCAATATGCTGGATAGCCTGAACATACCTTATACCTATTAAGGATAGTCAGTCATGTGTTCAGCAATTTTTTTCAGAAAGAATATAGTACCTATATAATTTTCATTGGCATGTTGGGAAGGTACCTTGGGGCTCTCTCTCAAAAAGTTTAACACCGGTGAGGTATCGAACCTGTGACCACACAACAGTTGTCACTCTTCTTTCTTATCCTAAACTATCTCACATTCAACAAATTTTTTTATTTCATATCCTAACTGCAAAAATAAATTTCAAAAAAATCACCCATCAAATTAAGTTCCCATCCAAGATCAGCAACTTTAGGCTTCTTCCAACGCTGTTCAACAGGTATATCAATTCTTGCCTGTCTTCGATCCCCTTCCACTCCACTAAATAAAGCGACAAAATCCTCTTGAGAAGGGAAGGGTTTAAATATCCAATCCCAATCAGTTTTTTCTTCTTCGGGCAAGAGCGAAATAAAGTGGGAAAACCAAATTGGAAATTTTTGGCGTTCTGTATTTTCAACATTTATATTTTGTTCATCTTCTGTATCATCCATAAAATCGTTAGTTTTTGGAATAGGGAAAAGGCTTGAAGCAGCTGCTTCTATTGATAAACTAATACCTTAAAGGGAAAGATTTTTTAATAAAATATTTTGGGTTGGGTCGAAAATACACTAGTATAGATGGGTACAGCCCGCGCGCGACCAAGTAGGCGCTAAGCCATAACTTGCTTCAAGATTTCCGAATCTTTAAAATTTAGCATTGAATGATCCCTCTCATCGAACTAAAAATTGATACCAAAATTGTTAAAAACGAGAAATTTTCCAGCAAGTTATGGCTTTGCGCCTACATGGCCACGCGACTACTTGGGCGTGTTCCAGTATCTCCAAAACTATTAATGAAAATAACCCTTAAGGCTTGCCTATGAAATTTAAGGAATAGAAGTTTTAAGCAACAGGGTTCGGTCGGTTAACCCAAATCTAGTACCGAGTTTTTTTTTATCGGAAACCTGGTCCGAGGAAAATTTAAACTTACTCAACTTTTTTTTCCTAATTTAGCCCATCCCTGATCGGAAAGAAGAGAAAATAACGTCTTGGGACAAAACACCGTCCGATCAAAATAACCTTCAAATTTTACCCAAGTAGACCAAATTTTAAATTTAATTTAAGGAATAAAAGTTATGGCACTAACCTACGTAGGCCCAATGGCTGTAGAGAGAGACATAAATCGAATTTATTACATGTAAATTGACAGTGATTTTTTATTTAATGACTGGACGGTATTTTGTCTGGACAGTGTTTTGCCCCTTACACAGAAAATTTTTCAATTTTAAAATTTTATTTATTTTCCCTACCCGGACACAATTTTCCATAAGCATCAGATAAACGAAGTGTCAACCAGAACTTGAAAAGAGGACAGTTGGTTTTTGTCGGTAGCCACCACAAATTTATATGATACAAGTCCTCTGGGTGTATATCCGGTTCGTTAAAAATTTCAACAGATTTTTGAGGTTTTTTGGCTGTGGAATTTAAATAAAAGGCGATTCTGACTATTGAATGGATTATTGAATGAGCATCGACTAATTGAAAATTGAAGCCTATATTGTCAATTCTAAAAGAGCCATATTGCTTTATTATTGCTATAACTGAAGTTAGGTGATTTGTGGAGTAATGACGAAGTCCAGAAATGTGAATTTTCTGAAATATAATAAAAAATCAAAATTTTCGTTTGGCGGTCCATGCCAAATTTTGCCTATATAAAGGAAATAAAGTAGGAGGTGACGTGATATAAAGTATCCATTATGCCGTACCAACTATATTTTACCTGAATAATCTTCAACGAAGGGTGAAACAATACAAAGTACTCAAATCAAACCATTAGCTAAAATATGATAATACCGTCGGAATATGCTACAAGAAGCCCCAGAATAATAGTTTCGCCTCTATTTGGGCCTAGATTTTAGGCTTAAATAGAATAGACCGGGGAGAATATTCAAAACTCGAAATACGAAACTCGAAACGAAAACATTTTTCAAAAACTATACAAAACCCGGCCCGAATTTGTCACAAACTATCCTATACCTACTGTCTAATAGCTCATACGTCCGAGACTCATATACTTGATTCCAAGATTTTCTTGTGGTTTTGTTCGGTCTTGGTCTTGAGTCTTTTTCAGATTCGGACGTCTCTACATCTCATTATGGGATATTATTTTTTCAACCCCAAGGGTATAACTTATAATAAGGTTAGTCTGTATCATCTACCTGTCCAAACATCAACCATTTTGCCAAAAGAACCAAAGAATAAGCAATAAAATCTTTCCCGGTCCTATAACGTTTGTCAATAACCAAACTAGTCATAACGCCACTACTGAATTTTATACTGTGCCAAACATTTGCAATATTTGAACAAAATGTTGAAAGTACTGGACAAAATTTGACAGGAAATATTGCCCTTCCGGGTGATGTGAAAATTATAGGG